CCCATTGGAGATAAAGTTAAGGCTGGCAATTCGTCTTCCACCCCGAATCTTTTAGAAAAATTAATTCCCGTAAGACAGATCCTGTTTCCGGGCAGAGCCAGACATCTCTCTGTTCCCGTCGCTCGTTGCAGCCCACGCCTAGAATGACAAATACGGTGTGTTTTTCCTACTCTGTCTTTTTGTCCTGTGGTCGGGTTTGCCCGGGGAGATAAAAAAAAAAAACACAACATCGAGGGGAGGTTCGGAAGGCCAACAATCGTAAATCGAGCCGGCTTCTGACGCCAACTTGCCTTCTGCCCTAAGCTAATAGATGGTCCTCGGCTTACGGCCGCAAGGGAGCCCAACGTTTCCGTTGCTAAAAGCGAGGACGTTGCCTTTCGCCTCGTTTTTACGGCCTTTTCTACTCAGCGGATCACGGCAGTTGGTAAGTGGGTCACACAGTCGTTAAGTGAATCCGGCTTTCCTCCCCACCCGCCCACTTGACTTGGCTGGTCAGGAGGTGGCTGCGACCGTCGTAAAGAGGAGCGTCTGAATTTTGATCGGTCAAGATCCCGGGTGACCCCCCCTCCCTTCCCCCAAATAATCAAATCAAAATCAAATCTTTTATCAGACTCGTAGGCCAGCGTAATCACCCGATGCGTTCCGCCGGCTGGCTAAAATCGAGCCTCCCTATCCAGGAGCAGTCTACCTGCCCGAAACGCAGCTCTCCCTTTTTCTTTCCCCTCCGCTGGGCAGTTTTTCACCAAAATTAAGTCACCGGCTCTTCTTAAGTTGTCTCTCTCTCTCTCTCTCTTCGTTTCCTCTCTCTCCCTCGCCCCGCGGGAGATGCAATTTTCTCAGGGAGAGATTGAAAGGGAAAAGCGAAGGATGAGAAGAAAGAAAGAAAGAAAGAAAGAAAGAAAGAAAGAAAGAAAGAAAGAAAGAAAGAAAGAAAGAAAGAAAGAAAGAAAGAAAGAAGAAAGAAAGAAGAAAAAAAAAAAAAGAAGCAATCTGGCTTCATTCGGGTCAAGGAATGTCGCAGCCTTAATGAACGCTAAGAGAGAGAGAGAGAGAGAGAGAGAGAGAGAGAGAGAGAGATGAATCAAAGTCAACGGTTTAATTTCCAACGCTGCCAAATTACAAATGCATTAAAACCCTCAGGAGAAATACCTCACTGGCAGCCCCTGCCTGGAACACCAACCCACACACACACGCACACACACCAGCCAGCTTCGAAATCCAGGACACGGCTGTGCCATTCAAACCTCCTTGGGTGGTTTGGCTCCTTCCCATCCTTGCTGGGGGACCAATTCCCCAGGAAACCAGGTTTAGGGGGTGCTTCGTCTTTCCCACTTGGAACCCCCCCCACCCACCCCTCTCTCTCTCCGTCCCCGGGGGATCCACTTTCTTGCGTGAAGCTGGCAAAAGAAGATTTCGCTTTCAGCACCGCGGACAGCTCCCGGCAGCTGAGACGTTGCTCTGCCTGTGGATTTGCCCGGCGGAGACGCCAACCATGATCGGGGTCCGTTTGGGCATCGTGGCCCTTCTCTGCCTCTTCTTCCTGGTCCGGGGAGAGCCGGCGGATCAAGGAACATCGGAATGGCCGCTGAAACACACGTACCCAGCTCACGAGAAGGAGCTGGTGAGTGGACGGATTGTGGGGGAGCTGGGGGGGTGGGGGAGAACCCCAAAAAAGAACGACGGGGCAGTTGGTCCATGGCATGGATTGTCCTAGAAGGGCAAGAAACCGGAGCAAGGTAGCTGCTTTGTCGTCAGTGGTGCCCGTTCCCACATACATAAAACGGGCAACGGTGCCCAAAAGTCTCCGGAAACAAGATTAAGGGGAACAGACTGCCATTAAGCCAGCATGCTTCAAAGGGCAGGGCTGCCCATCTAAGCCAGAGGGGATAAGGTCAAGCCTTCTGCCCTCTGGGTGGCGGCTAGGGGGATGATGGGTGCCGTAATCCAGTATTCCCAGAGTAGTGATTCATTGTTCCCATCCATTTTAGCAATGAGGATCCATCCCGCCTCGTTTCGGAGGACGGATTTTTTGGTTTTAAACCGGGAAATATTTCGTTTTCTTGAGCTGTGGTGAAAAACTTCGGAGATTCTGAATCCAATGAATCAAGTTTAAGATTTTGACAGCTGTCAGGCAAAAAAGCCCCCTCTCCAAACTTGGAAAATAAGACCCTTGGTACGGGGGGGGGGAGGGAGGGGGCACCACAGCCCATTAACCCCGGTTGAACCCGTTTATGCAGCAAGGGAGCAATTCGCATTCGACAACCTGGTTTGATCCGGGGGAGCGCCGCCGTTGAAGGACCTCGCTGCTTTGCCTCAGCCAGGCAGGGAGGGGAGCCTCCGGGTTCGGAGGCAGTCTACCTGGTCTCACTTTTTTAGGCGGCGAAGGGATTGGGAGAGAAAAAGGGACTCCCGGGATGGGAAGGAAACCGACATGAAAAAACAAATCAAACATGCGCAACGTTTTGATTTCTTGCAGCTGGACGAACTTCAGGAGGTGCTGGAAAAACTGCAGCATAAGAAGGTCTCCGCTTGGGAGAAGAAATTCAACCAAGTGCCCAAGGTATATTTGGGGGAGGGGGGTGGGAGAGTACCCCCATAATTTAAGGGGGAGAGGGGAGGGCACCCCCGTGACTTCTCCCTCTTTCTGAGAACGATTATCCTCGCCGCAAGTCTCGAGAGGCGAGTCCGAAGCACTGCAGAAACCGGATCCCGGAATCTTGGGATTCTCGCAGGCCGACGCCACAAGGTCATCTAGCCTGACCCCCGTCCGGCCCCGGGCTCTAGCCATTTGTCCCGCATGGTTCTGCTTGGGCTTAAGGCAGAGAATGGAGCTTCCTGGTCGTGCGGAAGAGCGAAAGGGCTCGCCAGTTCAAGAAAAAGGGGGTGGCACAGCCTGGGGAGGGTGGTTGGGTGGGGACGGACAGATTTTGACCCTCTCCCGCCTTCCTTCCAGTGCTCCTTTGGAGACTCCTGCGCCGTCCGGAAAGGCCCCCGTATCGGCAAACTCTGCGACTGCCCCCGGAGAGCGACCTGCAACGCTTTCCTTCTCAAATGCTTGTGAGACGCGCCCGATATGCCCTCTTCCACCTTTGCACCTTCGTTGTTCTGCTTCTCTCTGCAATCGGTCAGCTCTGGGGGGGTGGGGGGGGGTAGGGATTTTGGGGGGGTGGGGTGGGGTAAGATTCGCTCCCCCTTTGCTGAAATCCTGGAGCCGGGCTTTGGGAGGAATAAAGGAGACTTCCTGAGCATGTCTAGAGTGGGTTTGTTTGTTTGTTTTTCTTCTGCCAGGGGAGGCCTTTCAGAACCGAGGGTGGAAAAATTGGATTATTATTTTTTTTGAGGTTGTTCCTAGCTGGGCTGGGCCTGAAAATCGGATTTTGGGGGGATGATTCTCAATCTGGATGCTTTTAATTTGGAATAAAACATACACGCAGCCTGCTAAATCTTCCCACTTGGGGTTCTTAAACCATTTGAGGCTGCCCATAAAACCAAAGATATTCGAACTTGGCCTGTCGTTCAAATCCAGGCCTGTTCCGCTGCAAACAACCCAACGACGTTTGAAATAAAAGACAAATTATAATCTGGATCCATGCACACACAAACACACCCAACATTTATCTGGGTTCTACAAGAAACACGTTTTCTGAGTCGGTCCAAAGCCATCTACCTATCAACACAACCAGTTGGCATCTTCCCTATTGCAAAAGATAAAACCCAGGATAAAACTAACCGCGGTTTAAACACTGTGGGGATGCAGACTGGATTTACAATCAGTAAGGATCTAGTTGATTCTCACTCCTCCACTTTTCCCTGCAGTTTATTCCTTTATTCCAAAATTGCTGAGCTTATTTTAAATCTGTGTTTCTCTATCCTTGGCAACTTTGCAATCAGTGGACTTCAACTCCCAGAATTCCACACTGCGCCGACTGGGGAATTCTGGGAGTTGAAGCCCACCTCACTTCCACTGAGAAATATTCCTTTTATCATCATCGCCATCGTTTAAACAGTCCCACAATTCCTTGTGGGGTGGAGTTCAGACAACTGAATGGAGCTAGCAGAGTGTTTTTTAACTGGCCGGATGCCTTTCTCGTTGCCAGCGTGGAGTTATATTCAGCACTCCTGAAATATGACCTTCACGTTGCTCCAAATATAGTTTTAAACGTTGCTCGATTCTCAACCCACGAGAAAAACCTTCACAAGTTTCCCCCCCCCCCTCAAAAAAAAAAGGCCACAAGCCACAACTTCAAAACAACCACCAATGCTGGGAGCGACGCCTTTAATCACAATTCGGAGGAAAAGGATTCGGGGATTTTATACAAGGGAAGGGATGAAAAGAGGCTCGTTGTCCCGTTTGTACGACGCACTTCCAGCCGCGAGAGGCTCAAAACGACGGGCGAACGTTCCCGGGCCTGGAAGCGAGTTCAAATTGCACGGTTTCCCACGGGCAGAGGTGAAGGCTCAGGGAAGAGGGGGCCCCCAAACGTGGCGGGTTTTCTCAAAGGGGAGGGGAGGCACCCCCCTCTTTTGCCACCACCCTGGAGAGGGAAGCGACACCGGTCCGTGGGAGTGTGCGTGTGTGTGCAGCCCCCCCCCTCTTCCTCTGCAGCGGACCGCTCCTCCCTGCGGCGAACTCTGGATCCGTCCCGCTCTGCTTCGCCCGCAACCGACGCTAAATCGATTCGATCTGCTTCCGCACCTTCTCCAGGGCTTTCCCGTCGAGCACCCGCTGGCGGCACACCACCAGAAGGGCGAAGACAGCGGCGGCCCCCAGCATGGCACCCTCAAACTTCCAGAAGATCCGGGTCTCCATTTCCAAAGAGCGGCAACTGCGGGGAGAAAATGGCCGTGGTGACAGCAGGGGGAGGGGGGGAGGAGAGGGAGACCCAGAGAAGGGGGCTGGACTAGAGAACCTTGCGGGTCCCTGCCGAGGCGAGGATGCCGCGATAGAGGGATCTAGCTTGCTGATGAGATTTGTATCACAGACACAGGCAGGCATCTTGTGCATTGGGGGGAGGAACCCCCCAAATCCACCGACTTGTAAATGAATTGCCAGACAACAGACTAAGAGGGGTGGGCTTCCACTCCCCGAATCCCCCAGCCAGCCTGCTTTAAACCATGGTTTGATGGCTGGGGGATTCTGGGCGTTGAAGCCCACCCTAAACAGATCACACCCACCTCTTGAATTCGCCTTTCTTGGACAGCCCGCAGTTGATCTGCTCAACAAACCCGGTGACGCCGCATTCCGACATGGTTTTCTAGAAGCGAGGAGAGACGGCGTTTTGAAAGACCACCGAGCCACACACACCCCGAAGCAGCCCTCGTTTTGCGTGGAGCGTTTTAACCTAAGTAGTTTTCCATTCCCGGCCATCTTCCAAACCAGGATATGGAAAAAAAAGTTTGAAGTGTGGCGAGCCGAGGAACCGAACGCAGAGTTTGGCATCATGGTGGGTGAAAAAAAATATATGCAATAAATAAGTCATAATAAAAGTGAAGAGAGATTTCAGAACGGCGTTTAAAAGGGTGGGAAAAGCAACGTATCCAACTTGGAGGAAGTTCGTTTCCTGTCCTGTGACAATCTTGAGAGATGAATTTTTGATTTTATTAGATTTTATTTTGGTTAATTACGTCCCGTGTTGTAAAAAGCAGGTATTATTCATCTCGCAATCCTTTGTTTTCTGAACGAAGTTACAATGGCGCTGAAAAAAAGTGGAATTCAAATTCCGTAACAACCGGTTCTGTGGCCGTGGCCTAATTTGTGGGTGTGGCTTCATGATCGTGTGACTGGGCGTGGCTTGTATGTAAATATTGCAAATATTTATGTAAATATTGAATCTTTTTTATTAAAAAAAGAGCAACTTTTACCCAAAAGCAGGCAGACTGAGTTGGTCACAGAATCACAGATTCACTCAGAGATCTATCTTTCCGCCATCTGCTGCCTGAGTCTGCACTGAAAAAATAGAAGCTAGGAAGGTTCAGCTCTGCTTTTAGATGAGCTAGAAAGCAAGAAACCCCCACCCCTGCTTATGACCGTTTTTCACACTTACGACCATTGTATCATTTCACCACTACCCCCATGATCCAAATCCATCTCATATTTATGACGGTCGCAGCATCCCGGGGTCCCCTTTGGTGACCTTCTGATGAGCAAACGGGGGAAGGCGGATTCACTTAACAACCGTGTGGCCAACTTAGCAAACTGCAGTGTTTTGCTTTAACGACTGGCCCAAGGCAGGTCGTAACACGGGGCAAAACTCACTTCCCCAATGACATTTGGGGCTAAATTGTGGTCATAAGTGGAGGACTAAGAGCATTCCCAGGAGGGAGCCTGTCGCTTCTCTGTACAGGATGGGTTTTCGGGAAGCATGGATCGTCCCAATCCAGAGACAACGATCAATGGCGGCAAACAAATCAGACACACACTTTCGTGCCCGGCTCTCTCTCTCTCCTTCCTATCACCCTCTGCGCCCCCCCCCCAACGCCTGCCAAGGCATCCCCCCTCCCCAATCACCCCCCTGCCCCCCCACAAAAAAACCCACTTACAATCTGGAAACTCGTGCAAGGAGCGCACTCCGTCGTCACCACGAAATCCTCCCTCCGCCAACACGGAGTTGTGCCCGTCAGACTCGCTGCGGGAAAGCCGAACGGGACAACGGGGTGAAAATAGCGCCCCGCTCCCTTTTTTCTTTCTTTCTTTCTTTCTTTTTTTTTTTTTTTTTTTGGAGGTACCCCCGAGATCACCCCCCCCCCATATCGGTGCCACCTTGCTGGTGCCGAGTGCGAAATCCTTACCTGGCGCTTTGGCATCGTTCTTGGCGATTCCCTCGGCCGACCTGCGAGAGACAAGAGAGGTCAGCTTGCATTCACTCCACGGCGGCGGCGGCCGGAAAGGTCGTGAAACGGGTCTCCAAACTCACTGGATAAAAAGGTTTCCCTTAGCCGTTTTGGGCTCGGTGGCCCGTCGTTAAGTCGAGGACCACGAACGGACGGAGCTCAAGTTAGCCCAAATGATTTAAAAATAAAATTAATTTAAAAATCCAATCGTTCATTCC